CTTTTCACATGTCAAAATCTCCTCCATCCATTATTTTGTTATTTTTAATCTCAACCATTGATTATTTAATAATTATTTTATTTTATTTCAGCTTAATTTCATGTTCAGTGCGCGTTTTATCTGCGTTTTTCAGACAGTTGGTCAACTTAGTTAACTTTGAACATTTTTTACTAACTTTTTGAGAGTGACGTTTTGGTCAACTCTTGGTTAACAAACTTTGATCCGGTCCACTTAAATCAGTCGAAACCTCAATTTACGCGATACATTAACAATGGTAAATAACATATCTACTAACAATAGAAAACTATTTGAAAATTATATATTATATAAAAAAATGTAATACGCATATTTTTTTTTTATTGTATGAACTAACATTTTGGGATAAAATGAGAGAAAAAAAAATACATTGAGCAAAATATATCCTGTCATAGGCAATGAGCAGGAAAAAAAAAAACGAAGACATCGGGAAAAGAAAAAAAGAAAAAGAAAAAAAAACTGTACCAAAATTTGTTTGGTGTTACTTCGTCCCATTAAGGCTTGAGCATGTATATGTATACATGTGTGTATATATTACCTTAGGAATTATATACGAGACGCCATTTGAAAGCCGCTCAAACAAGAAATACAACAACATTTGGTCCTTTGTCAACCTACTGTGTAAAATAACGAGTGCAAAGAGAAATGTGTGAAGTGGGAGTGGGAATGTGGTCTGATTTAGAGAGAAATAGTGGCTTGTTATTACGTAAGCTTGTTTGAAAAAGATGAAAGATACATGTTAAAATTTTAAGTTAGCATCTGAAAAAGAGTGTATTTTAACTGCAATATTTCACCCAAAAAAACAAAGCAATAATATTATTGTTGTGGGAGAAAATGTGGAGGACGCGTGGAGAAATGACAATATGACACGTGGCTTTAACCTCTCTTCGCAAAATAACAACCCTTAACGTCTAGGACTCCCTTCCATTCCGTCGCAAATAGCCCAAGTAAGAAGTCCAACTTAGGGCGTCGATTTCATCTGGCGTCGATAGGTTGTACCGTCGACCTTACAACATAGAAATCCATCGTCATAAAATCCACCGCCAAGAAGGACAATTGGGCTAAATAACACTGGCGACGAGGAGAATGCTCATTGGGAAAAAGCCTGACGTGACAAGTTACGTACAGTAATGAGGAATGTCTGCAATGCAGGCATTAATTGCAAACCCTTAAACTGCCCCATGGGGGACAGAAAATGGTTACAGGTACGCACAAAGCCGTAATAGGAGACTAATTGGCTGAGTGAACAATACTCCAAGTGATTAGTGGGCTACGTCTGGGCCTAAAAAAGAAGAGCACTTGAGTGCTTCTGCCTACAAAGGAAACCCACCCAGCGAAGGAAGCTCCAATATAAAAGAGGCAAAGCCCCATACAGAAAAGGGGTTCACGTCCAAAGAAGAGAAAGAAGAACAAGAGAGCAATTGATGTAAATTGTAATCACCTCAAAAGGAATATACAACTACAGTGGATGTAGCTCTGATTTAATAGAGTGAACCACTATAAAATCTCTTGTGTTCCTTTACTTTAAAGCATTATCTTTCCAAATTGCTCATCCCTCTAAAGGCTTCAAACACCTTCGGCACAAAACTCTTACATATAACCTATATTAAAGCCGGTAATCCGACGGGAAACCTAGAGGTAACCCGGCCTATTTTTGTTGACAAAAATTCACCGTTAACAATTACAATCAAATTTTAAATCCAAATATAACATGCAACAAAAATAATGAAAATTCTTCAAACGCGTTCCGATGAAATCCAAGAAAAAGGAAGTCAACAACGCCTAACGGATATCCAAGGGCTCCCCCTCGTTTTCAACTAAAGCTGTGCGCATTGACAAGCTAAATTGGTGTAGCAACGAGAAGATTAAGAACGAGCACAAAAATGGAGAGCATTAATTGTATAGAAGCCACTCACTCCAATGTCATCCATGAATAGTAGAAAATAAAAATCTGAATTGCTGAAACTAAAAAAAAAAGTTATTATAGGTTGTTAAATCACATAATGAGCACATACATTGCTTCATCTTTTGCCTACTTTAACACCCCTAACATTGTATTAATATCAATAGGGCCGGCAATATAGATCACGACACGATAGCACGACTTGAAAATGATATGAATTTCACGGGTTAAGGTTGAGAAAAAAAGAGATTCAGGTCAAAATTGGGTCGACCTGAAATTGACACAAAAAACACGGGTCAATTTCGGGTTGGACCCGCAACCCGAACACAACACGACACTCGTAAAAAACTAAAAAAATACATATATTTTTCATTATATATTTTTTATTTTATTATGAATTTATGATATTATGATAGTTATACTCAAAATCTTATACAATTATTTGTTTAATTTCAATGGATGTTATTGTATTTTAGTGTGTTATGAATTTTAAGTTATTTCTAATATGTAAAAAATTAAATAAAAGTATACAATTTTCGTGTCAATTTCGGGTTCACGGGTCAATTTCTTGTCACGGGTCATTTTCATGTCGTGTCAACCCGTAAAGTTATCGTGTTGCGGTTTTTAAAACATTTTGTGTCACGAGTTGTGTTCGGGTTGACTGTAAATTTAGAAAAAAATGATCAAAACACGACACGAACACAATACGTGACACGAAGTGCCACCCTTAGTGTTGATATTTAGGGGTGACAATTCGTGTCACGTGTCGTGTTCGTGTCATATTTTGATCATTTCTTTCTAAATTTACAGTCAACCCGAACACGACATGTGACATGAATTTTTTTAAAAACCACAACACGAACACGACACGACCACTCTATGAGTTGACACGACACGTCACGAAAATTACATGTGACACGAAATTGACCCGTGAACCCGAAAATTGTATACTTTTATTTAGCTTTTTACATATTAGAAATAACTTAAAATTCATAACACACTAAAATATAATAACATCCATTGAAATTAAGCAAATAATAATATAAGATTTTGAGTATAACTATCATGATATCACAAGTTTATAATAAAATAAAAAATATCTAATGAAAAATATATGAATTTTTTATTTTCTACGAGTTTCGTGTCGTGTTCGGATTAGGCGGGTCCAACCCGAAATTGACTCGTATTTTTCGTGTCAATTTCAGGTCAAGCCAATTCTGACCCGAACCTCTTTTTTCTCAACCCTAACCCATAAAATTCGTGTCGTTTTCGAGTCGTGTTGTCGTGTCATTTTCGAATCGTGTTGTCGTGTCATGACACATATTGCCGGTCCTAATAAACACACAAGTAAGACCCAGATTCAATGCAAACTTAGTATTACGCCAAGCATAGTTACAAAGTAAAGCTCTACAAATTGAATACCTTTATAGGGAAATCTAACTTACCGACGCATCCGATTGAAATATCGAGCACATTCTGTCACCCTAACAAAGTCTCTTGAGTCCAAGATGTTAAAAGTATGTGATGCTTTGAGAAGCTGATTTTGAAGAAGATATCGAAACCAATAAGAAACAACGACTAAAATATATCAGTTAAAATAATGAGAAAAAAGCGAATAAAAGCTTAAACATAAGAGTGATAGCTAGACCAGAAGTAAGTAAGGAGCCATATTCTTCCTCAAAAAAAAAAAAAAAAAAAAAAAAAAAAATTCAAATTCTTTTAAAAGACTTTGAATTATAGGTCTCCCGAACTCTATAATTTTCTAAGTTGTATCATCTAATAGTCACATTTAAAATCTCCTCTCCTGAGTGTTAGATTCTAAATACTAAATTGTCTAATTTATGGTCAGTAATAAAAAGCATTAAGAACAAAATAATATAAATAAACTGAATAGAAAATCTCTTAAAATAAATAAAACAATAAAAGACATAATATCAGGCATAGGCTACATTGTTCCTCTAGACAAAAGAAAATTAAAACATAACAAAATAAATCAAGGATTCCAACATCTTAAATCACAAAAAATATGAAGATAAGAAAATTAGAAAGAAAATTTATGCGGAGATATCACAGTCCTCCGCATAAATTTTGACTACAATAAAAAGTTCTCACATAAAGTTACACCTTAACTCAAATTAAAAACTCGAATCAACGAACTAAACGGGCCCTAACTCTCTAACTCTTGATCTTCAAAATATTTTCTCTTCTCCTTACGAAGAAAAATCCTAAAAGCTAAAAGTAAAATATCATAAATAAAATAATCCTAAAAGAGATACCCTGAATTCCCCAAAAAGAAATCTCCAAGGACTTGTTCATTTACACCCAAACTCAAAAAAAGTTTGAACTCAAGTTACAACTTTATTCAAGTTCATGTTCTTTTATAAAATTTGAGTTTGAACTTGAGTTTGAGACTAAAATCTGAGTTCAAGTTCCCCCTTCAACTCAGGATTTGTTAATTTACATTTTTTGAGTTAGGGTGAAATGAGTTCAGATATTGATTTGAATTAATGTGTATTTGAGTATTGTTTGAGTTAATACTCTAATTTGAGTTTGTATTGGATGTGTACATTTGAGTTATGGTTTGAATTGAGAATCTATTTGAGTTTGTATTTGTGTAGGTCAAAACTTGAATTTGCATTTAGATGATATTTTAATAAAAACTCAATAGTGATGAAAAATTTTAATAGGGTATATGAGTGAAGTTTTATTCGTCTCTTCGTTGTGAATGTATAGAAAAAAAATCATCTCAATTAAAATTAAAACAAAAAAATTATGACATTTTTAAAAATAAAAAATATTATTTATTAACTTAAATTTAAATTTAAATTTTTAATAGTTGATCAATGTGCTATTTACTTAATAGAAATAAATAGCCCATTGATCAAATATTATAAATTAATAGGCCCTTTTAGTTTCATATATTTTATTTTTTCAAATTTATCCCTTTTATTTTTTTCTTTCTCACCGAATCTCTCCCCTCTCTTTCTAGTTTTTGCGTCCTCTCTCTCTGGTCACGCTCTCTCTCTCTCTCTCCTCTCTCTCCCGATGGCTCTCTCTTCCCTCCCTCTCGCTCTTCGTTCTCTCTCCCAAGAGACTGCGAGTGAATACATAAATATGAGAAATCTGGTTTGATGCGTAAGAAAGAAATGACAAAAGTTTCTAGTGCATTGTTGGACACAAATTCTGTTTCCATGGATGAGAAAGCTCTGGGTAAACATTGAAAATTACATTGTTTATAAATTTATTGTTTATGAATTCTTCTCCGTCAAAATTTAAACTGAAAATTTCCTAGATCTGTTTTTAACACCGCTGCCTCCGATCGATACCGTCGCCAGCGAAGACGACGCATTCGAAAGCCAGAGAAGACGAAATCCGATGAGATCTCCAGATCAGATATCGCATCGCAATCTCCGGTCGTCGTCGCGAGCTTCCAGACGGAGCTTCCACCGTCCGGCGGCGTGAGTTTGAGAGATCCTAGCCGAGATGCCATGGACGGCAAGAGATGAGGAGAGAGAGAACCAGATCGATGAAAGAGAGAGAATTTGGATGTTTTTGGTAAGTATTTGAGGGCTTGTTCTGCAAGTTTTCTTGAGTTAAATTTTTTAGTCGAGTTTAAATTAAATTTGAGTTATAATTTAAGTTAAATTTATAATTTGAGTTTATGTTTAATTATGTATATTTAAATTATGATTTGAGATTAAATTAATTCTTGAGTTGTGAATAAGATCTTAAAATTTTTTTATTTTTTTCATTTAATTAATTTTATATAATTTAATTTAAATAAATAAATGTGAATAAATAAATTTAAAAACAAAATAAGTATTTTTTTCATTTAATAAATTAAAATACCGTATAAAAAATAAAAAATTAAGATGAGTTTCCATTTTTTGTTTGATTTATATATATATACACACACAATACAATAGAGAGAGTGGCTACGAAATCAAAACGCAGCTACGAACCTGTGTGGATTCATCCTAATAAACCTTCTTTGGCGGAGTTTACCACACATATTCTCTCTCTCTCTCCCTCCCCTCTTTTTTTATTAAAGAATCCACCTCCAGATTTTCTCTACTACTTCTGCTTTCTAATCTTCGTTGGATCTCCAAGGTTCGTTTTTCTCTCTTCACTTTTCTCTTTTTTTTTTCTCTGTTTATTTTTCTTTTTGGATCTCTGTAAACGTTGGGATTGCGAGGATTTTCCAATCCGAAAAATCGACATTAAAATTTTTATTATTTCATTTCGTTTTCGTTGTTTATGGTAAAGGAAGGAACTGTGAAATTGTGAAAATGTTGTTGGTTTTGGTAACGGATCTGTTTCTTTTGTTTAGGACTGTGGTATGGTTGATGTTTAGATGTACACACACACATAATATATATACCGTATAAAAAATCTATTTTTTTTAATAGATGATTGGGCTTCTTTTTTGTTTGATTTTATATAGAGATGGATTTTTCGGTGGAGGATTCGGGAGAGTTAGAACGGCTGCCTAAAAAATTCATCTATTTCTCTTTCCCCACTTACTTTTCTCGGCAACCAAACAAACCAGAGGCAGCAACGGGCATGAATCTTCACTGTAGAAATACAAAGAAGTTACTCAAGTTGCAGTGGGAAGGGGAACTCGAATAAAGCAGGGTAACTCAAATTAATTTTTGAGTTTGAGTTTGAGTGTCGTTCGAGTTCTCACACGTCGAACGCAGACTTGAGTAAAGTTTACTCTCGAGTGGGTCTTTCTCGAGTAAAATAGAGCAACCGAACATGGCCTTAGTTGTCATTTTAGTATTTATTTTACATGTAGACATTTTTGAAATTTTATTGTGTAAATCCATATTTATATTAAGGTATGTTTATTTAAGTGATTTGAGTTTAAAATTTAAATTTTGTTACAGTAAATAACTCTAAAAAATAGTCACATTTAATTTTTTTATTACAGTAAAAATTATCATATAAAATCACATTTTAAATTAAATTAAAAATTCGAATCAACGAACTAAACTGACATTAAGTTGACCTATTTACTAGTATTTCATATAAAGATTCGTGTCATGGTTCGTAGTCCGTTATAATATTTTCTCTCATAAAAAACATACGTAAACTGAGAATAATTTTAAATTATAGTTCTGAATCCGTAAACTAAACGTTCACTAACTTTTTTAAAATTTAGGCCTACTAATTTTTTTTTTCCTCTATCAAATTAGCTTATTTCCCTCTTTCACCCTAAATAAAAACTAGAAGTCTAGGACACCAAAATGATACCCGTGGCTTTCCCGTAGAAAATGGACACAAACAAAATTCGGTTTGGTGATGTTAAGGTTAAAGTAAATCTAATCGACCATCATTCCGTACTTGACGAGAAGTTGTCCGAGTTCAAGACTTAACAAAAAAGTGTTAGAATGGAGTTGGTAACAAATTACGTAAATATGGCCAGTTGACGTAGTAGTGCAAATCGTGTGGTTTTCCAATGGTTATTACTCTGTGGCGGGAGTCGTTGCCTGACGATTAATTTGGACGAATTGTGCTATCTCCACGAACAGTTTAACGAAGTTTTCGGTTGATCAAACTATATTCTTTGTAAGAAATTGGAAAGAATTAACTGTAAGACCTTTGTGGAAGTGGGTTATTTGGCTGCTTGGGTGCTGAAGAAATGCAGCATCCAATCTAACGGATTGGGAGATTTGGCTGCTGAAGTTGGCGCTGACATTAAACCCAAAAGTTCTATATATTAAAAAAGAAAAAGAAAACAAACAAACGTGCAAGTTTGACAACTCTTGACTGGGTTGTCAATCACATGCTCTTCTCGGAGGTCCCAATGCATCAAATGTGCCATCCATGACGTATATTACTCGCCTTTTATTTGTGACAAGCTCTTGGGTATGCTTTAAACTGGCAATTAATTATATATATCAAGTTGAAATGCCAGTTTTATGTTTAAATTTATTACAAGTTTTATGCAGTTTATAATTAGAGAAAAACCTTGAAGAGTGTGCTAGCTAGACTAACATTATGCGTATGAAAGTATTGTCGGTTACTTTCCAATACTTGCGACTTTCCATTACCCTAGAATCTATTCGAGAAAGCTAATATTATCTTTTATTTAAACTTGATTTTGTAATAAGTTTTGATAAAGTTGTAAATTAAATTAAATTAATTCCTAAAGAAGATTATGTGGAGTATTTAAAGTTAAATATAAGTTCAATTACGTTGCCTAATCTCCTAAATTACAACTTCATCAAAACCTAACTAACTATAAAATCAAATTTTAAATAAAATATAATATTAACCTTTTAGAGAACCAAATTCCAAGACGCTTTATTCGAACTACGTAAGTAGGTATAGTTATGAATTTAATGAGAGAATATATAGCATATTGTATAATTAAAATAATAGGGGTTATGTAACTATCAAGCACACATCATAATGACAAGGTAAAGGCGAATGCTATCGACCATCCTTCCAACTTGAGGAGAAGTTATCGGAGTCGAAGAATCTGTTACAAAAACGTGTCGTCGGAGTTGGTTATGAATTAAAATGTTGCTTAATGGCACCTTTTCGATTGTTATTACTTTGCAGCCGGAGTCGTTTTCTAATGATTGATTTAAATGTTTTAAACAATCCTTCGGATGGTTTAAGGAAATTCTTGGCTGATGAAACTATATGCTTTTGTAGGGTTGAGCCAAAAGTAGGGGACGACATGAAAGCTTCGTTTGGTAGGAGAGATGGAGAGGGTGGAGAGGGTTATAAGGATGAAAAATGTGAATGATAGAGATGATTATAATAATCTTTTATGTTGTTTGGTAGTAGGGAAA